TGTCTCAGAGCGTAACAGGGTGGTGTTGTACTGTGAAGGACAAGAATAAACACCAGTAGCTGGGTTTTTCTGTGCTGTTTCATCACAGATAGCATTTCCATCTGATGTCAGTGCAGTGCATTGTTGGTAAATGCCACCAAAGATAAGATTGGTGACTGAACCTTCACAAGATGCATCATCTACATTTGCTTGAAAGTTGAAGTTTTTGGAATCTGGATTTACACAACCTGGAATAGTATTTACTTTATAGTATTGCTCTGCAGCCTGAGAAACCAACAAAGCTAATTTATGTACTACTGGTACTGGGAGGTCTGGCAATGTTGTTGGATTCAGAAAATAGTGAATTGGCAGCCCGGAGCGGTCAATAGCCACCAGATTATTGAGCGTACTCTCTTGCCACTTCTGCAGAGTGATGCCTGGGTAGAATAAAGCCCCTCCTTGGCTCTGAATTAAGGAATATGTGATGTTACCCTGATAACCACTGATTTGAGTGTTTTTTAGTGATACATTGCTGCCAAAATCAAATTTAAGTTTTTCGAAGAAGGAAAGACCTGCTGATGAAGATACAGAAGACAATTGTAACTGATTCTTTGTGACAAAAGACATTTTTAAATACTCCTCTTGCACTAAAGTGGCACCAGCATCAACACTTGTGATGACATGGGTGCCATAATCAAGTATGAGTTTCTCTGATAGATACATTGCTAAACGTGTTTGATTGTTCTTAATAGCATCTGCGATTTCCTCGGCCTGTTGAGCAAAGCGGATGTCAAAAGGGAAGTCGGGATATGCCTTTACTGAATATAGATGGTTACGGACCTAGAAACAAAAATAAAGAAAAAAAAGACAGATTAACAGATTAACAGATTAAATGGTTTATTTCAAAGGTCTATTTTAAAGTAGGGCAAGCATACACCCATTTACACATCAAATATGTGACCCTGTCTGTGATCCAGGCTAAATCTGCTTATCGATTCAGGTTCTTATCGATTCCCAGTTTCGATTCCAATGTGGTTAAAAAATCTAACATTTAGATATCAAACACATTTATTCTGTGTCTCTTTTTGCAAAACATTTAATTGCTGCTCAATACCATCAACAAAAATCAGCCGGCTACATAAAACGTGGACTCAATTAAGAGCCGTTTGTGTGCAAAATAGAGCTGCACGATTCTGGATAAATTGAGACTTTTTTAATGGAGGTTGTAGTTCTCTCACAATTCTGAAGAAAAAATATTAGACAACTAAACTAAATCTCATGGAATTTATGAATGGACTGATTAAATGATTCACTCAAGATTTACTTGTTTCATTACTGGATGAATCTCTTGAATGAATGATTCGAAGACAAATACATTTTTAACAGCCCCTTTTCGCCAACTACAAATAAAAGATGCGCACACAGGAATTGATAGGTGGAATTGAAATTTGAATTTTACAACAAATATCCGATTCCTGACCTTAAGTATCCGATTCTGGAATTGGAATTGATTTTTCGATTCCCAACCCTAATTTTGTGGCCTAAAAATCTGTGTATAAATGCTGAAGTTAAATCATAATGACAAAGTTGAGGTCTTCTGAATTAATCTTTTCTGTACATAATAAGAGTGAGAAAATATTATGTAATATTGGATATCTTAGTAAAAATGCTACAAAATTAGAGTCGTCAGTATTTTTTAGTAATGACTTTCTGTAATTCAAACTGTTTAAAATTCCAGACTGCTGTTTCATGTAAATGTTGTTAGACTGTTGTTTTGACTTACTTGAACTCGTGCTGTTGCAGAACTCTCCTTCACTTGGTGAATTTTAATACGCTGGTTTTCTTTGGAGAATTTCCCATTGAGCACCAGAAGAAAGGAAGCATCTGCATTGATGGAGCTTGATGTGGAGCTTGTCTGGTCCATCCATGACATGATGATCTCAGAGTTTGTTTCCACTCCGCTCTCTTTCTGTGGAATGACAAAGACTTCATCTGGAATGAGATAGACACCATCTTCTGTGGTCTGACACTGGGAATAACTCAGATTCATCACCCGGCCCATGTCTATGTTGCGCAGGTTATCCCAGCCTCCTCCTGGTAGGACCTCCAGCGCTGGTAAAGGCGAGTTTTTATGACACTCATTGAGTCCATTACTGGGACGAATGAGCGGATAAAGGTTGCTGATGTCGATACAGCAGTAGAGCATCAGCAGACACAATGTTCTTGACTCCATGATCGTCTGGTGTGCTGAGTAAAAATGCATTTCTCTCTCAGAATTGCATGTCTTATATATTGTCAAGTCAGGGTTTGTGGTTTCACTGAACCAATAGGCATTCATGTTTTATTGAATGATCTGTATTAAAATCTTAAACAACAAAAGATCTTATCATATTACTTTTAATTTGTCACATAATAACCAGATGACCGAAAGCAAAACTATTTTCTAATCTTTTGTTGTTTAACACACCCAAATATATAACTTTAATGTAATATCCATATTTGTCTGCTTCAATTTAAAATGGTTGCTTAGCCTAAACACTGACTTAATTACAAAAAGCAATTTAAATACAAATACTAAGAGTGCTGTTGTTACAACCTACCGCACTATTGGGGTGAGTTGTATTAATAGAATCAAATTCTGAATGTTTTAAATGTGTGCATTCATTTAATATGCCAGTCAAATTTGCTTCAAAGGAATTATGTCATTCCAATAAATAAATAAATTGTACACATTGGAACCATTTTAACAAACAAACAAACCTACTTTTATAAATACAATTTCTGCAATCATTTATTCACCCTCATGTCATCCAAACCTGTATGCAATTCTTTTGAGGAACACAAAAGAAGATATTTTAAAGGCAAAAAATGTTCATCTTTCCACAGAAGAAAGATACTGGTTTTTGACTTGTTAATCAGTGTCAATATCCAGTGTCAATGTTCTCACACATTTGTTAAACTATAGGGGGAGCTTTGAAAACTTCTTTTCTCTAAATGATTTTAAAGTCTACCTAAGAAAAACACAAAAGTTCTTTTCAGTTCACAATTATGTTGACAATCCTTCAAAAAGACATACAAACTCACGTTACAGCATTTGAGGTCAAACTTAAATCAGTGTTATCTGATCATGTTAATCCTATTCATCATGCCATTTTTTTATTTGAAGTCTTCTCCTTTTGTGTGTTGTTTGTTCACCTGGGTGAAATTAAAACCATCATCTGGTTTTCAGTTTATGTCCTATCCATTTGTGTATTGTTTGTTATGGTAGAATGCTAAAGTTGTCATTTTTTTCGTTTCTATCTAACCTCAGGATCATCCTCCAGACGATGAAGTAAAATGCATATATATAACATCAGGATTGTCATGCAAGCTCATCATCCAGTTTGAGTATGCTTCAGCTGGGCTTTGGTTTAAATCAAGGACTGGAAAGTATTTCTCACCTCTCAACACCTCTATCTTGTGTGTCATGAAGCAGAATCCCATGCTCATGTTATCTTCAAGGATTTGAGACTATTTGTTACAAAAAAGAGGCATTAGCTGTAAGGAACCTCAAACCCAGGCACCTTGATATCAATTTGATGTCAAATATTAGTCAAGATTTGATCAAGATGTTGTAACATTATTTAAAATTTAGTTTGGATGGCAATTTCTTCCAGTGGTAATTGGGTGAAAATAGGAAATTAATCCCACACTGAAATTGGTTTAATGTACATGTAGGCAAATATGTTTGACGTTTAATTTACATCAAGTTTTTGACATCAGTGCATATTTGACCGTTTTTTTTTTTTTAGGTGAATTTGATGTCTTTTCAACATCAATTGCCCACTGAGAAGTCATCTTTAACTCAATGTTCAGGCAGTTCTTGATATCGGTCTCTGAGAAGCCCTTCAGGGTTGCAAGACAAGTTCGAAAAGCTGTTACCCGCCTCATCCTCCCTGATGGACTTGATGTATGTAGTGAGTGCCGTAAGTATCTATAGTCCCTCAGTACAGGGGTTTTGTTTCTTCATCATATTGTGACAATCCTTCAAAAAGACCTACAACCTTGTGTTACAGCATTTGAGGTCAAACTTAAATCAATGTTATCTGATAATGTTAATCCTATTCATCATGCAATTTTCTCCTTTTGTGAGTTGTTTGTTCACCTGGGTAAAATTAAAACCATTCATCATCTATTTTTCAGTTTGTGTTCTGTCCTTTTGTGTATTGTTTGTTCATCTGTTAATTATTCCATTCATTTAAAGTTATGGTAGAATGACAAAGTTTTCATTTTTCTAGTTTCTAGCTTTGTTACAAAGAGTTAAGACTGTACATGTCTAACCTCTGTTTTCTTTGGGATACCTGTTTGGAGAATATCGTGTGGTCTCTATGTTGTACTTAGTCTTGTTTTTTGTCTGGGGAAAAACGACAACAAAACTAAAGACCATTTTCCATTTGCATTTCTGAAATATTTTTATTTGTTTTTTTTTTATTTTTTATAACTGTGTTCTGTGGGAAATGAACCAGTGACCTTGGCGTGATAAACACAGCACACAATTTCCTGTCTTATTGTGAAAAGTCATTGTGCACAGTCTTTATTGAACCAGTAGACAGTTTTGATGAATGAATTATCTGTTACAGAACATGAAAAGATCTTATACTTTTCACTTTGCAATACATAACCACAAACACGCACAGGAATCAGACCATTGAAAGCAAAACTATTTTCTATAGCGGAACAAATACAGTAATAATCTTCTGAAATCTATTAGTCTTGAAAAAAAAAAAACACCAACAGCTAAAACCTCTGTAGTCATCTTCTTTTTCCACAAGAGATATCAAAATGTGAAGTTTCATTTGAACACTATACTACTTATATATTACAAAAAAAATTTAATTAAAATTTAATTATTTTTTTATTTGTGTTTATTTGTTCTATACATGTCTATACAACTATCTAAAAAGCAATATGCAGAAATATTCTTAATTATGAATATGCTTAATATTCTTTTTGTATCATTTGTTCTATACAAATGCAAGGTCTTATGGTTTTGGTGAATATCTGCTACACCTGGGTCCAGTTAGATGAGCATCACAAGATGCATTGTAGGTGAAATACAGGATGCCTCTCTTTAATTTACAGCTGTGTGAATGAGTTCCACGTTCAGGGCTGACCACACATCTCCCCACCATGTCATTATAAATGACATCACTGTCCCAAACCTCAAATATGAGTTCATGACCAAACTCAGTTGATCCAAAATCATAGCTGATGTTCCATTCGGGATCATTATTGTCCATAACCACCTCAGTCTCCTCATACATGAGGTAGTACCAAACTTTCACGTAACCATCAGTACGTGTGAAGAGATCTGCTTTCAGGCCTGCTGCTCTCTGAACCATCACTACTAACTTGCCATGGCCGGCTCGCATAGGACAGCAGTTGTGGTCCAGATTTGGTGTTTGTGAGCATTCTTGATTCTCTTTGTGATTTACAGAAAGCATGTTCTCTTCAATATACGCAGTTACTGTTCTTTTTAGATTGGCACTAACCTCAGGATCAGCCACCAGATGATAAAGAGGGAAAATTGCATATGATATAACATCAGGATTGTCATGCAAGCTCCTCATCCAGTTTGAGTATGCTTCAGCTGGGCTTTGGTTTAAAACTAGGTCTGGAAAGTATTTCTCACCTCCCAACACCTCTATCTTGTGTGTCATGAAGCCCTGGTAGAATCCCATGCTCATGTTATCTTTAAGGATTTGAGAGCATTTGTTGGAAAGTGAGGCATTAGCTGGAAGGAACCCCAAAGTAATCTTTAACTCTATGTTCAGGCAGTTCTTGATATCGGTCTCTGAGAAGCCCTTCAGGGTTGCAAGACAAGTTCGAAAAGCCGTGACTCGCCTCACTCGCCCTCCCAGATGGACTTGACGTGTGTAGTGAGTGCCGTAAGTATCTATAGTTCTTCGGTACAGGGGTTTTGTTTCCTCGTCATATTGTGTCGGAAGTCGCTGGAGGTGTTTTGAAAATTCAGTGCTGAGCTCTGGGTGGTCTGCAACTCTGTAACTTTAAATGAACAACAACAAGTCATCTGTCAGCAAATTCTGACTGTGGTTTCTAAATAAAACTGTACTTTGCCTGAAGTTTTCTTTTTCAGTGTTTTTGACTAATTTGGTCAATGAGGTGATAAGAAAGTACTTATAAAGCATGCTCTGGGTTTGTTTTTCAGATAAAACCATGATTTGGCTGACTTTTCAAGTGATTTAGGACTAAATTGTTTGGTCAGATGAGGAATAGATGCTAATCTAAGCATCTTTGAGATAATGTCTCTTCCTCATAATACGCAATCCCAAGTCTCGCAAGGAAAAAATGCACTGATATTAAGGGAACACTCCACTATTTTTGAAAATAGGCTCATTTTCCAACTCCCCTAGAGTTAAAGAGTTGAGTTTTACCGTTTTCGAATCCATTCAGCCGATCTCCGGGTCTGGCGGCAGCACTTTTAGCTGCAGCTTAGCATAGATCATTGAATCTGATTAGACCGTTAGCATCTCGCTCAAAAATGACCAAAGAGTTTCGATATTTTTCCTATTTAAAACTTGACTCTTCTGTAGTTACATCGTGTACTATGACGACGGAAAATTAAAAGTTGCAATTTTCTAGGCCGATATATCTAAGTTAGCCTATTTTCAGGCACTGCGTAATATCATTGCGCCTGCTGCACCCATGGTACGGCAGCAAAGTTCCTTGATTATTACGCCGGAATGAGAGTATAGTTCCTAGCCTTATTGTTGGTCATTTTTGAGCGAGATGCTAATGGTCTAATCAGATTAAATGATCTATGCTAAGCTACAGCTAAAAGTGCTACCGCCAGACCCGGAGATCGGCTGAATGGATTCGATAACGGTAAAACTCAACAGTTTAACTCTAGGGGAGTTGGAAAATGAGCCTATTTTCAAAAATAGTGGAGTGTTCCTTTAAATTAACCAGCTACTTGCACTGCTGCTTCCTTTAAACTACATTAGGATCCTATGAGCCTTGATATATGTTACGGTTTCTGAACAGCCAACAAGAATTAACTTGAAATACATGTAAATGTATAAATTTTTTATAATATCAAGCTGGTATTCTCAAGTCCCTTTATCATTAACTACAAGAAAATTAAGTAGCCTAAGGTAAACTGTCTATCTCTTTGGATTCAACATGTATGAATTTCACTGCATTATAGAAGACAGTACCAAAGGAACTGATTCTTTTGAAAAATGTTAACATCAATTGCTTGTAGTTGCCACCTGCTCTGATATTTTTGTCTAGACTTAATGTAGCTTTGCGCCCTCTAGCGAGTAAAAAAAACATGCATCTTGCGGAATAACATCTCGGTTACGTAGTCTACCCCAAGAGGCAAAAAGTCTCCACTTGAAAGCATATAAGCGTCTCGTGGAGGGAGCCCTAGAATTCATAATAGTGTCGGTAATCTCAGCCGAGAGACCAGAACACATTAGCGTACTCCGCTCAAGGGCCACGCCCATAACCTCCATAATTCCGGTCGAGGATGCCAAATCATGCCCCGAGCTTGTGTCAACAGATCGTGTCTGAGGGGAACCTCCCATGGAGGGCCCGCTGGCAGACTGACCAGGTCTGAGAACCACGGCTGAGTGGGCCACCACGGGGCCACCAGCAACAGGTGCTCCACTCTTTCTGATCGTATTCTGAATAGGACTGCTGGGAGCAACCGGATTGGGGGAAAAGCATAAAGACTGGTCCTGGGCCATTCGTGGGCCAGAGCATCCAGACCTAGAGGCGACGGGGGAGACAGAGGCAGACCTCTGCCATATAAGATCCACCGCCTGG